CTGAGGTATTTCAGCATTTTCACCACATTCATTGCCATGGGGATAGAAGCTTTACTTTGTCTGCATTCAGGGTTTGAAACATGTCATCTTATTTTTCTCCCTGCAGGAACTCAGGGCACTGCAAAACGAAATAATCCTCCTGAAAAAGAAGCTGGAGTCGTACATGGACCTGAGTCCGGTACGTTTGTTTTCTAGTTTTTCAGACTTCATTACTTTTCCAACAAAAGGGGTGATCACGTTTCCTGTTTTGTCCTTTGAAAAGAAAAAATCATTCAATCTAATTTATTTAAGGATTAAGTTTGTGAATTTAATCTTGAAATGTGTGTTGTTGTTTTTTTATTCTAAACCTTCAGAGCCCATCTCTTGCACAAGTGAAGATGGAAGAAGCAAAAAGAGAACTAGTGAGTCTTTAAATATTTGGTTTTATAACATACAAGATGCCATTTTTTGCTCGTTTGTCATTTTAATTACTTTTTCTTTCGTTCATTTTTCAGGTTGCACTCGATTCCAAACTGGAGACAATGAAGGCTATAAAATGAAGTTGGATGTTGCGCAGCAGTCCTTTCTTTAAAAATAAAGTTTTTGCAGTCATATTTTTTCTTCTTCTTTTCTACCTTTACCTGCCTTCATCATTAATGTTAAATGAAAAGTGGTTTGAGGTATTTTGGGTCACCTGAAAGGATACTTCTTGCTTCTTTCCTCCTTAGCTTTGGAACCTTATTTAAATATAGGTTAAATATTTCAGAGATTTTGGACACTCCTAAAAAGCTCACAGAGTATCCCTATTAGTTCATACACCTTGAACATTTTTATATTGTACAACCTGCATAACTAACTTATTTTGTTTTGTATGTTTACCAACAAAAACATTGTTTGCATGCTTGTCAGTGTCTAGAAATGGGTAAAATTTTCTGATATGATTTTTAGCTTTTTTATTTTATGATAAAATAATATACTGCTAATGTGTACCTGAATGTTTAGTCTCTCTCCACGCCTTCCTGTTTGTTTCAAACATCTGCAACACTAATGCAATGTTTGGCTTTTCCTCTCTGATCGCAGCAATCTAATTAAGGGGTTGGTCTTAAGAGTTGTAAAAAATAGTTCTCACAGATTATATCCAAACAACTTTCAATCTGTGTGGACAACCTCATCAAATGCAAGTTCTTTGTTTTGTTTTTGTAAATGTATTTTTGTCCAGCTGCTTATCATTTCTCAGCCCTTCTGGGATCCAAATAAGTTTTCCTCTTCCATACTTCTTGGATTTTCTTCTCAAAACCTCAGTATTTTTTACACCCATTTGCTTTAATGTAATTTCTTCAATGTCTGGCCAACAAGTCTAAAGGTAAAGGAAACCTTTAGAGATTCACAATAAAATGGTACTGGCTTTGGAGGTATAATGTCACATGGAATTAACGGTGGAGCACTTTGTGCCTGAAGCAAAAGCAGACATTAGAATCAGTCTGTTCTGTCTGCATGTAAAATATCCCCTCAGCGTTTCTCTGCCCTGTCGGTTTCTGTCCTCTGGAGTGGAGCAGAGCCTGGACACCTCAACGGTTTCTGTCAGCTTGACTGGTGTAGGACCTGATCTGCAGTCTGACATGGAGACTGAGCCGTTACCATGGAGTGGGCCACAGATGCTTACTAGAGAGCAGTTTTCCCACTGGGGCCCCCCAGCTTGGATGAAAAGAACCATTTGGTTAGAATACCAACAGTTAAAAAAAAAAAGAAACAATCTGGCAATTTATTCAAAAAGGTTACATTTGTTTTACTCCTGGGTGACTCTGTTTACCTATATTTCCAAGTAATGTGAACGCTTAAATGTGTAAGCATAACTTATTTTTATGAGTATTGCTTAATTGACATAACTCATAAATTGTAGTAGTCATAATTGACATTTTATAGTCAACTTTACTAATGATTTTGAGTTAATCAAAATCAGGTTTACTGCCATTATCTGAGTGGTGTAAACATTTATAGCTATAACACCTTATAATGAATTAGCTACTTTACTTGGAGATTTTGAGGCAATCGGTTTCCTAACTTTTTTTAAGTAAAGTGAACTTATTACATTTTACAGTGTGGACAAAGAAAAATGTTTGAAACAAATAATATGGCCTTTAGAGACAGAACACAAATCATATAATTGTCTTAAATTCCAGTTGAATTAGTTAAAATGTTTTAAAGTGTGGGCCGGTCATCAGTGGACAGTAAAGAATCCAGTTGTATGAATGTTTTCTCCTTTTCAAACCTCATTAGAAGACAAATTTGTCTCTAATGCTAAACTTGACTGGTCTGGTTTTTAGACTTAAATGGCAGCTATTTATTATTTATTAAGTTTTACAGAAAAAGAAAACCATATCTACTCAACTTTCATTTATCAATTATTTTTCCATTTGCAACAACAGCATAAAAAGAGTATTTAGGTTGTTGGTTCTGTTCTGAAAATGGAGGTTTAATCATGACGTAAATACAAATTGTTGCGAAAACAATAACTGATTACTACAGCTGCACTTTATATATTGAAATAAACATTTAATTTGAACCGTTAAATCGTTTTAAGTGAATTGGGATAACTACAATTTTTTAATCTGCTGTATTTCTTTAAATTCACATTCATTTTCTTCCTGGAAGGTTGGCAGGTTGGCTCTGTTCATCAAACACTTTTTGCAGTTCTATCTTCTATTGCTGGAGTTAACTTAAAGTTAAACAGAACCCTAGATGTAATTTGTGTGAATGAAAAAGAACACATATTACATTTGTTTACATCTGTTTTTCTAAGCAACCAGAATGTCTTCTTTCATTTAAGTAAATTGCCATAAGCTATGCTTCTTTCTGAATTTTTGATTTGATGTAGGCTCTTGTTTTGTACTTATTTTCACAAGATTGAGACAGTTTATCAAAATATGGGGAAAAAAAAAGACAAATTAGAAGGATGAATTGTTGGATGTTGAATTTGATATTTATGCATTTGTGGTTAAAAACTGGGACAAATAGGGGATGAGTTGCACAATTTGGAAATTAGTTTTCTCAGTGTGGGTTATTTGCTCATCTTTTGATCAGCCCACTTAGTAAAACATAAAATCCAGGGTTTTTTTTCTTTCAATCCAATGAAATAATTTGTTTTGTCACAGTACAATCACACGTGCATGATACAAATGAGATTGTATGTAACAAACACAAGGTGGTGAATGTTGGGAAAAGGAATAAAAATGTTTTTCTAAATATTTTACAAATGCATTCCATACAATAGTCAGTTGCAGACCAGACTACTGGTTAACTTTAACCCCATACTATACAGTGCTGTGGTCATATAGATGCACAGATAATGATCGTAAAAGTCCAAAGAACAACTAAGAGATCCAGTAAATCGTTGAAAACCATTTTAAAGTATTGCAAGAGGCAAAGCATAAAGGAATTGGAAGTTGTTGAAACTTTTGTACAGTACAATTTAGAAGCAAACATAAATATCAAACTGTGACTGTGTGTTTTTGTAAAAATTGTGCCTGAAATGTGAAGGAAGACGTAAAATAGAAAGTCAAAGAGAGGGAAGCCTAGGAAGTATGTATGCGCCTTCTGGAGGGATAAAGAGGGGGGAAATCATGCGTCACTCTAGCGCGAGCTGCCCGTGTTCCCTTTAAAATAGTTTTATGTGCCACTCCCACTCCATGATTCCCACTCAGCTGTTACTGTAAATCGCTCCCAGTTCCCACATGGTGCTATCCATTCACAAATCCGCGCAGGAAGACTCGATTGTTGCCATGAATCGGATTGATCACCTCGTCCGTCACCTGTGAGCAACTTGTTGCGCAGCTGCTATTTCCTCTGTGGTCCATCGCCGCAGCCAGACAGCCGCTGCTTCTCTACGACAGAAACACTGGAGCTGCTGATCTGCGTCTCAGCGTCCGGGGGTATTTTCTGGCTCTCAGGGAGGACAGCTGGATGACTTTGTGTGAGCGACCGACTTTCTTTATTGGAGTTAGAGAGATGCAGCCGAACGCCGCGGCCTTGCGGGATCTCCCTCACCTTCCTGTTTGGGTTTTTCATTAAGTAGGCCTACAACAAGTCTGAATTCAACGAGCCTCATTAATATGAGAAGAGGGCAGGGGATGCGAGTCATGAGCTGGACGCGTCCTTTCCACGGACTGGACTGGAGCCACAGCCTCTTCTATCTGACTTTACTACTGTGGACCAGGCGCATGAACGGACTGGCTGATTTTTCAAGTAAGATGATGATGATGATGACGATGATGACGGAGATGCAATAAAAGGAGGGGAAAGCTTACAACAGAAACTATTTTCTCACAAAAATGTCACCAGGTCGCTCTGAAGTTTTCCATTTAACTTGCATAAAATGATGTAAAAATGAAATCTTCTTTTGGTGTTTTTTGAATAATGGTGAAAAGACAAGAATTGATATTAATTCAGGTAAGGAATCTGTAGTGGATTTAACATTTGTTTCCAGTTGTTTAGCTCCATTATGTGATTGGCAAGTTGAAAATAAATCCTTTGGTAGTGATCATTACATTATAGTCAGTAAAATAAGGATGGGTCAGGTGCAGAATCTTGAAATGTTAGGAGGGAAGTGGATATTTAGGAAAGCAAATTGGGAAAAATTTAATAACTTATGTGAGAGTAAGATATCAAATATAAAAAATGATTTGAGTGTAGAAAATATGAGTCGTGAGATTAGTCAGGGTATATTAGAAGCTGCTGAAAGGTCTATTCCAAAAACATCAGGGAAGAATAGGAGGAAATTAGTTCCATGGTGGAATGAAGAGTGTAGAACAGTGGTCAAAGAAAGAAATAAAGCATTTAAACTGGTTAAAAAGTCTCATAATTTTCAACATTTGATCGAATATAAAAATCACAGGCTAAATTAAGGAAAACAATAAGAACAGCAAAAAGGATATATTGGAGAAATTTTTGTGACAAAATTGGTAATAGTACAAAGATTGGGGAAGTTTGGGGAATGATCAAAAAATGGGGGAGATAGAAGAGAATGGAGTTATCCAATATTAAATAGAAACAGTATAATAGCAATAAATGACAGGGAAAAAGCTGATATTTTAGTAAGCACATTTATGGAGATTCATAGTGGGAAAAAATGATCAGATAAAGAAATAAAGGGGAGAGAGAAAACTAAAAGAGAAAATGGTGGAATTTTAAGAAGAAAGGAAATTATTAAGGATGAATTGATGAACGAACATTTCTCTATTGGAGAATTGAAAAGAGCTTTGGGTAGAACAAGAAATAGTGCTCCAGGTAAAGATGAAGTATGCTATATTATGCTAAGACATGTGAGTGATGATGTTTTGAAGAAGATATTAAATTTGTATAATAAGATTTGGAAAGAGGGAAGAATACCTAGTGAATGGAAAGAAGCGGTTGTTATTCCGATAAAGAAACCTGGGAAAGATCATAGTAATCCTGAAAACTATAGGCCGATTGCTTTAACATCTAATATATGTAAGCTGATGGAAAGGATGGTGAATGAGAGGTTAGTACAGTATTTGGAATCAAGGAATATAATTGCTCCGTATCAGAGTGGCTTTCGTAGAGGGAGAGGAACAATGGATCCAGTATTGTGTTTAGAAGATGATATTAGAAAAGCTCAAATTAATAAGGAAACTGCTGTGGCTGTATTTTTTGATGTGGAAAAAGCATATGACATGTTATGGAGAGAAGGATTAATGATTAAACTACACCAGATAGGAATAGGAGGGAGTATGTTTAACTGGATATGGGATTTTTTATGTGATAGAAATATCCAAGTTAAAATAGGTTCTCATGTTTCAAAATCGTGTCAAATAGAAAATGGAACTCCTCAAGGAAGTGTGATAAGTCCAACATTATTCTCGGTGATGATAAATGATATTTTTAATGAAATACCAGTTAGTTTTGGGAAATCACTATTTGCTGATGATGGAGCATTATGGAAAAGGGGAAGAAATATAGAACATCTTATTTTAAAACTTCAGGAAGGTATAGATATAGTAGGTAAGTGGGGAATTGAGTGGGGTTTTAAATTTTCAATTGAGAAGACAAAAGTAATGTTCTTTACAAATAAGAAAGTTAGAATTGATAAAAAATTATATTTATATGGAAAAGAATTAGAAACGGTTGATAGTTTTCGTTTTTTGGGAGTAGTCTTTGATAAGAAACTAACTTGGGAAAATCATATAGATCACATTATGGAAAAAAGTAAAAAGGTTCTTAACATTATGAGGTGCTTGACAGGATTGACATGGGGTACAAACTATGAATCACTTAAAAATATTTATGTGTCATTAATTCGATCTAGAATAGATTATGGGAGTGTGGTGTATGGATCAGCAAGCAAAACTAGGTTAAACAAATTGGATATTATTCAAGCAAGAGCTTTGAGAATTTGCTTAGGGGCAGTTAAATCTACTCCAGTATGTGCATTACAAGTAGAGTCAGGAGAGATGCCATTATGTATTAGAAGACAGCAGATCATGGTAAATTATTGGATAAGTTTAAAAGGACAAAATGAAGATCACCCAGTTAAGAAAGTGTTGCAACATTGTTGGGAGAGAGGAAAAGGGAAAAGTAATAGTTTTGGGTGGGTGGGAGATGATAGAGCAAAAACATTTAATGTATTTGACAAAGAATTCAGTCAAACAGTAGTATGGCCTGTGAGACCAGCATGGTCATGGAAATATATTAATGTAGACAAGACACTATTAGATATTCAGGGGAAAAAGATGATAGATATGTGCCAAGAGTTTTATCATCAAATACAAAATAAATATAATGATTATGTACAGATTTATACTGATGTTTCAAAAGATCCTAAAAACAAAGTAACAAGTGCAGCAGTAGTGATTCTAGATTTATATACAAAGATTTCAAAAAGAACATCTGATTACTTGAGTATCTATGCAGTAGAAATGTGTGCTATATTATTAGCTTTAGAATGGGTGGAGGATAGTAAAGAAAATACATTTATAATTTGTAGTGATTCACTATCTGCTTTGATGAGTATTGAAAAGGGATGTTCAAGTAATCATCAAAATATATTATATGAAGTTATGGCTGTTCATCATAGAATATGTGATCAAAATAAAAAGGTAATATTATTTTGGACTCCTGCTCATGTAGGTATTTTAGGTAATGAAAGAGCAGATAGGTTGGCTAAGGAGGCTAGTAAAAAAGAAAAAATTGATATGTTAGTAAAGCTATCGAAATCAGAGGGGAAAAGTATAGCTTGGAGAGAAAGTAAAAAGATATGGAAAATTAGGTGGGATAATGAAATAAATGGAAGGCATTTACACAGATTTCAAAATACAGTTGATGTAGAAAGGGTTAGAGGGTTAAATAGAAAGGTAGAGGTAATTATAACTCGAATAAGAACCGGGCATAGTTTATTAAATGGAACTCTTTATAAGATGGGGAAACATCCTACTGGTTTATGTATTTGGTGTGATTCTGTAGAAACAATGGAACATGTTTTTATTTGTTGTAGAAAATATGAAAATGAAAGAAAATTATTAATATTGGAATTAGGCTGTACCAGGGAATTGAAGTTTGAAAAAGTGGTTGATCAGTTAAATAGTAATGAGGGGAGGAAGAAAATTTTGTGGTTTTTTAAAAAACAGTGGGATTATTTCGAGAATTTGTTAGATAATTAGGATCCAATAGATGGCAGTAGTGCAACAAAAATGGATGCAAGCTGCCGTTAAATCCTAAAGAAGAAGATGAAGTTAATTGGAGGGGCTATAAAACACACGGCGTTTTACGTTTCTGTAGTGACTGTCTATGTTTTTCATGCCTTCTCTGTGATCATGTGTGAAAAGCTGAGGAAGGTAACTCTTTGACTCCAGTAAACACACATTAATGCGCCAGCCGCATTGCTGATATTGTCTTATTTGTCTGTCTCTTCTACAGGTGAACAGCTGGTTGGAGGGAGTGTTTGGGGATCAGCCAGTGCCATCATTTGAGGTGAACACCAGGACTGTGGACATACTGTATCAGCTGGCTCAGTCCAGTGAAGCCCGCTGCAGTGATACTGCTCTCCTCATTGAAGACTACAAGCAGAAAACATCAGAGTATCAGGCTGACGGTGAGGCACATACAGCAGGCAGAACAGATGATGCATTAAAACACTTGGATCGGAAAGGCTGAATTGATCTAAAGTGTTTAGATTTGCCGAATGGCATGTTTTGCACATGTCGAAACTAATAGAAACTGAAGTAAATATTTTTTTATGGCTTAAGATATAGGTGTGGTTTTATATTTGTTGTAGTATAGAGACAATCTCCAAATAGTCTCTATATCACTCCACTAAACGACATTAACGACTACTATTGAAGTATTTAAGGTGAATATTTTGTGCTCAGATGTCGAAATTGTTATTAAATTGGAGGGAAAATAGAAATCTGAGTTTAGAAATTGTATGGAGTTTCAAAATAATAAACACATAAGAACTCTTTTGTCTGGTTTTCAATGTTTTTCAAAAAACTGTATTTCACTAATCCCA